CGAGTAGCTAGTAACTAAGAYAGACGTTAGCCTAGCCCTTCGGACTATCCTACTAGATAAGGYACYRGGACCGRATAGGATCCTAAACCGCCTACTAAAGYAATATAAGTCCCTATACGCTCCGCTAGYAYACCTCTTTACGGCCTACCTAAGGATCGGATACTATCCGCTATACTATAAAGAATCTATTACGGTAGTCCTAAGGAAGCCTTAGAAACCGATATATACCGTACTAAAGGCGTATAGACTAATAGCCCTCCTTAATACTATAGGTAAGCTTCTCGAGAAGATCGTAGCGAGCCGAATATTAGTACTACTAGAAGAAAAGGGCCTCCTCTCGGAAGGCTAAATAGGAGGACGGCTAAGACGATCTACCCTAACCGCGATAGAACTACTAATAGAAAAGATCCGAGCCGTGTAGAAGGGAGGCAAAGATAAGGTCGCGTCCCTCCTATATCTCGATATCTCGGGAGCGTTCGACTACGTATTATACGAAAGACTTATCTATATTATAAGGAAGATAAGACTCCCGGAATAGATAACTAGCTTTATAAGGTTATTCCTTACCGAAAGGACTACTATACTAAAATTAGGATCCTTTACTAGCGCGAGGAGGAACACCGAAACCGGCATTCTATAAGGATCGACCCTCTCTTTAGCGCTTTTCCTAGTATTCGTATCGGAGCTCCTACCCTTACTAGACTCCTAGAACTCTATAGCTAGCGGGTTTATAGACGACACTAACATCCTAACCTAGTTAACGATAACGGAAGGCAACTATAGAAGGCTCGAGGAACTCTATATAAGATGCGAACGATAGGTAGAGAAGTACGGTATAAGGTTCGCCCCGGAGAAGTACTAACTTATCTACTTTATAAGGAGCCGCACGAAACATAATATAGGAGCTACTATTACGATTTAAGGCTACATATTAAAGCCGGAGATATACGTTAGGATACTAGGCCTATAGATAACACCTAAACTCTCGTAGGGACAATATATTAGGAAAGCTAACTAGAGGGCACTATCGAATATAGAATCCCTAAACAGGCTTATAACGTCTATATAGGGCGCTACATTCGTATAGGCTAAGCAACTCTATACGGTAATCGTACGCCCGGTAATAACGTACGGTAGCCCGATCTAGGCCTACGATAATAACAAAGGACGAGTTCTATAAGTGCTCCTTACGGAACTAGAAAGAACCTAGGTAAAGGCGCTCCGTAAGGTTACCGGAGTATATAAGTCGGTACCCCTCCGYACCCTCGAACACGAAACGAACGTGCTCCCTATCGATATATACCTCCGATAACTTAGAATATAATACTTCGCGCTTACGGCTAACTAGCTATATTAAAAGTACATTATAAAAGCTATACATAACCGCTAGCCCGATAATAATAGACTTAAGATATAGAGGTAAGAGGATATAGCGACGTAGAATAGAGAGATGCCTATACTAATCGATATAGGAATATACGTAGTACTACGGGCCCCGACGAAAGGGGAAATCTAAGAAAAGCGAAGGATAATTAGGGATCTTAAGGAGAGGTCCCTAGAATAATAGAAGGACCGCTAGAACCGTTACTAGGGGAGGGACCGCTAGTACTTTATAGCGGCCTAAACGAGGAACTAGAACGTAGCTATAAGAAAGGATAATATAATAACGCCGGATCGGAGCGGGGGAGGCTATAAACCTCCGTATACTATCTACGAAGGGCTAATAAGGGCCTAATTAAGTATAATAATATAGTTAAGGACCGAACATATCGGCCTCTAGGAATACCTCCGGAGGCGGAGAGTCCTAGAGGTAGAAAGCAAGGCATACTAATGCGGATACCCCTACTAAAATATTAAGTATATACTTCTATACTACTTAGAGTAGGCGAGGGGACGCGGAGACTAGCTACGAAGGATAAGAAGCAAAGACATCTAAGTTATTCTAAACGACCTCGAAGACGTATAGAGGATCGCGAAATAGATTATTAGGGAAGGATTTCTTAAGTAGTTTAAGCTAAGCCCCGCGGTAGAACGACTAGTCTAAGAGCGGAAGGAAGCGTAAGACCGTAGAAATATAGAGCAAAGTAGGTAGGTAGAGTAGGAGTAGAAGTAAGGAGCATAAGAGAACGGCGTACTTAACCGAGGAGAGCTCGTAGTATATACGAGGCAAACACCTAAGGGATAGGGGAGTTTTTTAACCCGCGTAAGAAGAAAGGGTTTTCTCCTATAGAGATACTACGTAGTAAAGTCTATATAGGCCTCGCCCGCACTAGACTATAATAGAACTTATTTATTTATTTATAAACGTTCGGAGTTGCCCCTTATACGCTATATTAGTACTAAAGGTATAATCTCTATAGTAACCGTGTAATAATCGTACGATCGCACCGTATAATTCGAACCTTTATATACTACTACGGTATATAAAGCTATAAACGGGACCCTACTATCTCTACTCTCCCTCTATTCTTCGGTCTACGACTCGGCTACTACTACTATTATAGCTCCTATACGATCGCGACACTATCTACGAACCCCGAAGCGCTTTATACGAAGGAACGATAGATAATAAGAAGCAATAGAAGAAGCTATAGCCTCGAATATATATAGAGCGTAATAATTTTAATTACGGCGAAACCCTACGTAACGATATTAAGTGCCCTTTCTATAAGCTCTATAATCTAACGCCGCTAGTTATAAGCAGCTCTAAGGGCTTTATATAGCGGGCTACGTAGCTGCTAGTACGCTAGCCTCGCCTTAACGGCGCCGGAATCCCTCCTAGAGTTACCCCTATAGAGATTACCTCTAATATAGAAATATCCGACGATAAGCTAGTTAGAATAGGCTAGAACTACGGCGATAATAATTACCTAAATAATACTAGTCTAAATAATAGGCGCTCGATAAATAAGCGCTAGCGGAAGATCGATACCGACTATATACGGAACCTACTAAAGACGGAGTACGACGCCGGTAACCTCCTAATTAGCCTTCGGCCTAAGGAACTAGCGGGAACGGCATCCGGCTCCTTTATATAGGTAAGGATAACTATTACTATTATTATTACTAGGTACACGATATTACCTAAGGACCCCGATAGGATACCGAAGTTTTAAAATAAGAAGAAGGGTATATATATAGTTAGTTTGTTACTAGCGACTTCGTCGTTCTAGACACTAGTATATAATCGCTAACTTTAATAGGGCAACCTTAAACTATCTTAGTACCTAATTAGAAGTTCGATTATATAGCTACTATAATGCAACTATTTAAGTATTTACTAGGTATAAAGTTAGAGATCGATTACCCTAATAACACCCTTATATATATAACTAAGCAGTATAATAACCGTAATAGGCCTACTAAACTAGTATTTAAGGAATACGAAGGCTCGAGGCTCGCTCGTATCTTCCCGTAAGGAACGAAGAAGACGTATAGGGTGTTCTTAGTCTTTAAGCGGCCTAGCTAATACGATRTAGATAATTCCCTATTATATATAGCCGTAGCGGAAGAGAAGCTCGTTAAGGCTATAGCTAGGCTCTATAAAAAAGCTATCGCTAGTAATAATAAGAAGAAAAAGAAGAAAGCCCGATCGGAGAAGCCGAAGGTAGAGAAACCTATACGTATTACCTATATAATATGCATCTAGTTACTATACTAATTCCTAATAGGCCTCCGACGACAACCTAGATAACATCGATATTACCGTAACTACGGACAATAGCGACGAAAGCGACGCCTATCTTTTAGCGAACGTTATAGTTTATATACCCTTTCCTTCGTATAATAGTGTACCTACTAACGTACGTATAGGTTAAGCCCGAACTAGTAGTTAAGGAAGAACTAGTAGTTAAGGTAGAACCTACCGACGACTACTAGAAGAAGGAGTTATTCCTTTAGAGACTAGAGCAATCTCGTATAGAGGTAAGTAGCTATAGTACTACCCTTTCTACCGTATAATAGATAATAACAATATATAGCGTTTCTCGGTCCTAGCTAAGTAGGGCGGAGGTTCTTCGCGGACCCCCCCCCTCCCTAAGGGGTTAGTTATAAGCGTAGCTATTCTTAGATTTCCCTTACTTCCGAGCCTAGTAGTACGCTACTAGCGGATCGTACGCGTAATCGATTAAAGCGCCGTTAAGAGTAGGGTATACGTTAACTATAGATAGCGTTACTATCTAGAATTATTAGCTAGAGTTTATATAAYACTTTTATCCGGTCCTTTAACGGACTTCCCTCTTAGTTAGTATATAATATAGCTTTCGAATTATACTAGCGTTTGCGATTTACGATATACTTATATCGCACCTTTGCCTTTTATTATATAGATTAAGCTATAGCTCTTAGAGGAATATACTACTATATAATATATACTAGTTTACGACATCTCTACACCTTAGCTTACGCCTTCTTCTCTCTACGCTTTATATAAGTAAATAGAAAAGAGATAAGTAATAGGTATAAGGCAACGCCTTTAGATAAAATTATAAGAGTGTCGATATACTAATAGTAACTAGAACAAATCTTTACGATACTATTATACAGCCTAGCACTCTTGCTATATCGAAACCTTATATATAATACGATATAATAGCGTAGGAAACGCTATAATACTCTAACTCCGGCGCCGAGGTAAAGCTAAGAGTAGTAGTGCATTCTGAAAAGCTATTTATGGGTTGTTGCAGGGAAGTCGCTAAAAGACCACCGTAGAGGGAGCCTCCAAACTGTTCAGGGAGTTGTGGCAGGCCTCAAGACAATGTTCCGGTCCACTGCATTCCTTCAACCAAACATCCACCACCTTCGTTCAATCGACTTCTGCACCTGTCTTCCACCATCACTTTTCACCAACTCGCACTTGCCGATGCACGCGTGAGACTTCACCTCACCCCTCTACGACCTGATCCACGCGACTCGATCGCAGCATCGCGATCCTCGAGTCTACGCTCTGGCAAAAGCACGCGCAAGATTGTCAGCAGCTGCATCTGGCACTCATCGACAACATGTCAGATTCTGAGGATGATCGGCCGCTCGTGGGTGAGTTTACATCCCCTCGCGCATCATTTGCTCCACTGTTGCCGCGTCACGACCATGTCAATTGCAGGAGCGGCGCGGACTTGGTCGCTGTCAGAATTTGCACACCCCAACTTCACCTCCCCGTCCAATTCACCTTCACACTTGCACATGTCATGTACACACGAGCTCTCTTTACCAATTCGATTTCCTTGATTGCCTTTCGGCTTGCACAAACAATACCTACCAGGTACATTCGCACAAGCTTGCTAACCGAACATCAAGCCAAGTCCAAGGCACTGGTCACGGAAGCCGACATGGCTACTCCTTCTTCTGACGCGGCTGTCATGCCAGGAATCAGTTTAACGAATGGTGCAAGCGAGAAAATGGACGTTGATGCACCTGCGACAAATGGCACCAAGCGCAATCGCACGAATGGACAGAAGACCTCATACAAAGATGCCTCGAATTCCGACTCCGACGACGACGTTCCTCTCGTGAAGAAGAGGAAAACAAAGAAGGCTTCTGACGATTCCGACGACCAGCCTCTGATCGCAAAATCAGAGGCCGAGAGCTTGGTGAAGAAGAAGGCGGCGATTGAGAAGCTGGCTGCCAAAGAAGCCAAGCAGATTCGCAAGGGCGAGGCCGGCGGTGGGAAGGCGAAGGCCAAGAAGGTGGAGAGTGACGACGAGGACGATGTTCCGCTCGCGAAAACCAAGAAGAAGCCTGCGAAGAAGGCAAAGGCCGATTCTGATTCCGATGACAAGCCACTCGCCAAGAAGAAAGCTGCCGCGAAGTCAGCGAGTAGGCCAGCCGCCAAAGCAGCCAAGGCCAAGAAGGAAGAGTTGCCAGAGGAGGATGTTGAAGAAGGCGAGGAAGGCGAGGAAGAGTATCGGTGGTGGGAGAACATGGGCGACGGACAGAATACAACGAAGTGGGAAACGCTGGAGCATAGTGGTGTCATCTTTCCCCCGGAGTATGAGCCACTTCCAAAGAACGTACAGCTTCTATACGATGGCAAGGGCGTCAGCATGCACCCAGAAGCCGAGGAAWTTGCTTACGCATTCGGAGCCATGCTACACTCTACCCTCAATGTGGAGAACCCGACCTTCCAGAAGAACTTCTTCAACGATTTCAAGCAGATGCTCGACAAAACTGGCGGAGCCAAGGACAAGGACGGCAAGCGAGTCAACATCACTTCATTCGACAAGCTTGATTTCAAGCCCATCTTCAACCACGTCGATGCTGAACGCCAAGCCAAGAAAGCCCTCTCCACCGCTGAGAAGAAGGCTGCAAAGGCGGCCAAGGATGAGCTGGAAGCTCCATATCAGTACTGCTTGTGGGATGGCCGTAAGCAGAAGGTGGGAAACTTTCGCGTCGAACCCCCTGGCCTGTTCCGAGGTCGTGGTGAGCATCCGAAGACTGGAAAGTGGAAGAAGCGCGTGCTTCCAGAGCAGATCACTATCAACATCGGCAAGGAGGCCATGGTTCCTACACCGCCGGAAGGCCACAAGTGGAAGGAGGTCAAGCACGACAAAGATGGAACTTGGCTTGCCATGTGGCAGGAGAACATCAACGGCGCATACAAGTATGTGATGTTGGCTGCCAACTCCAACATCAAGGGACAGAGCGATTTCAAGAAGTTCGAAAAGGCCCGCGAGTTGAAGAAGCACATTGACACGATCCGCAAGGACTATGAGAAGGAGCTGAAGTCAGAGGTCATGGCCGAGAGACAGCGCGCTACTGCAGTCTACCTCATCGACAAATTCGCCCTCCGTGCAGGTAACGACAAGAGCGACGACGAGGCCGACACGGTTGGTTGCTGCTCTCTCAAGTTCGAGAACGTCACCCTTGCTCCACCAAACAAGGTCACCTTTGACTTCCTCGGAAAAGACTCCATCCGCTTCCACGACACGGTAGAGGTCGATACGCAGGTCTTCAAGAATCTGAAGATCTTCAAGCGATCACCCAAGAAGGAGGGAGATGAGATTTTCGACCGTCTTACCACCGCCGGTCTCAACAAGCATTTGTCAAACTACATGCCTGGATTGACAGCCAAGGTCTTCCGTACCTACAACGCCTCTTTCACCATGTCCGCTCTCCTTCGCGACATGAAGGCAGAGGGCAACATTGCCGACAAAGTCAAGCGATATAACGATGCCAACCGCGAAGTAGCTATCCTCTGTAACCACAAGCGCACCGTCGCTGCCACCCACGAGCAGACTATGGAGAAGCTGGAGGAGAAGATTAACGGTCTACGCTACCAGCAGTATCGCATCAAGCACATGATGCTTGCACTCGACCCCAAGCTGAAGAAGAAGCGAGGCGAAGACTTCTTCCAATTGCCCGAGGGCCTCGACAAGGAATGGCAGGTACAGCACCACGACTTCCTGGTGGATGAGCTTCGTACCAAGATCCAGAAGAAGTTTGATAAGGAAAACGAAAAGCTGGAGGCCGATGGTGAGAAGCAGATGAAGGCCAAGGAGCTTGAGGAACGCATGGCCGTCGTTCATGAGCTGGAGACGAAGCTCAAGGCTGAGTTGAAGAAGGGCAAGGTGGAGCCAGAGGGCAAGTCACCATCCGTTGACAAGTACGAGAAGGACATCGACAAGCTCGATGCCCGTATCGCCACCATGCGGACACAGGCCGAGGATCGTGACAATAACAAAGAGGTCGCCCTTGGTACCTCCAAGATCAACTACATCGATCCTCGTCTGACGGTCGTTTTCAGCAAGAAGTTCGATGTCCCCATCGAGCGCTTCTTCAGTAAGACTTTGCGTGAGAAGTTCGACTGGGCAATCAAGTCGGTCGATGAGGACTGGGAATTCTAGGGAATACTTGGGCGATATGTCGGACACTCGTCCGCCCTAGGCGTCTACTCTTTTTTGAAAGTGGCATGGTGGGGCGTCGAGCAACTTTGCGGCATTTATCAGAGGTTGTGATGTACAAATGGGGAGGGGAGATTGCTGCTTCCTGTAACTGCTACTACCTTAGATATACTTCAATTGATGACAAAAGTCTTTGCTGTGTGCATCGATTCATGTACCGTACGCAAGTGCCGTTGGTCAAAGTACAGTAAGRGAGACAGAAGCGTGCTGTTGAACTTCGCCTGTGACCTCCAACGAAAGTGTGGAAGGCAGAGAGGGTTGATGGGTGTTATTAGTGAGTGTTGAAACGGCGCCACTACCTTAGTTTTGGCTTGAACGGAATTCGTGAGCCTCTCCACAACATCGAATACATCATCAACTCACGACCACAATCAATCTCATCCATCTCAAAATGAGCTCACCTTTCTGGCTAGTCGGTGCCCTTTCTGGAGCTGCATCTGTAGCATTCGGAGCGTTTGGAGCGCATGGTCTCAAATCGCGCGGAATCGCTCCAGAGAAGATTGCCAGCTTTCAAACGGCAGCACATTATCAAGTATGTTCCTGATACATCAAGTACCTTACTCGACATTCATTCTCAAAAGAATAAGATGGAAATGCACATTAAGGATTGCTTCCGCGCTACTTTTGACTGTACAAGGAGTGACTAACAACAACTCCAGCTCATCCACTCTGTAGCTCTCCTCGTTGCCGAGCAAGCTGCTCCAAAGAACGTCTGGGCGAAGGGCCTTTTCACCGCCGGAATTTTCATGTTCTCTGGATCAATCTATGCGCTGGTGCTGGATGGAAAGACTTTCAAGGCTCTTGGTCCTGTTACGCCGATTGGAGGGCTTTGTTTGATGGGTGGTTGGGTTGCGTTGGCTTTTGGAAGTAGGGGACGGGTGGCTTTGTAGGCTGGCTATGTATGAGTATCGAAAGGAGGCATGATAGATGTATGATATGTCTGGCAGGTGGCATTTAATCAGACGTCTGCTTTGCCGTGTTCGACTCTGCAAGTGTATCCCTCAACTGACGGAGCGACACATGCCGATCATCGAATGAACSGTACATTTAATGGAATTTAAAGAATAGATTTTGACCAGGCGAGGCGTTTGGCAACGGAACACCAGCCATATCAAGCCCTCACGTTGGGGTTGTCTCTAGGAGGTGATCGTGCTTCTCTCGTCGATCAAGTCTGTGTAAGAGCTGGATACTGATGACGCTGGGCAGTGTTTCACGTGCACAACATGGCAAGACTCGTCGAGTCGAAGAATTTGCGACGAAAATGTATCCGTATCTAGGGAGTTCTAACCCATGACAGCAATCGTGCCTGTGATGATGAACGGTTGTACGTGACATTGAGACGCTTGACTTTGGAACCTGGTCCGTGCCCACAAGAAGACCCCACGAGATTTCAAACGAATTCCTCAATTCTCAGCACCTACCTTACCAAACCCAACATACAACAGCAAATATGGCCGACATGGAGACTTACGATGGTGCGATCGGTATCGATCTCGGAACCACCTACTCTTGCGTCGCCAACTATGAGGGTGCCGGCGTTGAGATCAGTATGTGACATTGGAAACATGCGCGCAAGCCGAATGAACGGGATCTGACAAAATTTTCTACAGTCGCCAACGAGCAGGGAAGCTTCACCACCCCATCTTTCGTCTCCTTCACTGCTGAGGAGCGTCTGATTGGTGAGGCCGCGAAGAACCAGGCCGCCATGAACCCCGTCAACACCGTTTTCGATGTCAAGTGAGTGGAGCGAGGAAAAAAGGTGGAAAACACAAGCTAATGCCTGCGCAGGCGTCTGATCGGTCGACGATTCGACGACCCAACTGTCAAGAAGGATATCGAGTCATGGCCATTCAAGGTCATTGAGGATGGCGAGAACAGCCCCAAGGTCCAGGTCGAGTACCTCGGTGAGACCAAGACCTTCTCTCCCCAGGAAATCTCCGCCATGGTGCTCGGAAAGGTGCGCTTCGCCACATAGGTCGTGCGCAGACCAATGCTAACTCCTCGCAGATGAAGGAAGTTGCTGAGACCAAGCTCGGCAAGAAGGTCACCAAGGCCGTCATCACCGTCCCCGCATACTTCAACGACAACCAGCGACAAGCCACCAAGGACGCCGGTGCCATTTCTGGCCTCAACGTCCTCCGTATCATCAACGAGCCTACCGCTGCCGCCATCGCTTACGGTCTCGGTGCCGGCAAGTCTGACAAGGAACGCAACGTTCTCATCTACGATCTTGGTGGTGGTACTTTCGATGTCTCCCTTCTCCACATCCAGGGTGGTGTCTTCACCGTCAAGGCTACCGCCGGTGACACCCACTTGGGTGGTCAGGATTTCGACACCAACCTCCTCGAGCACTTCAAGAAGGAATTCAAGAAGAAGACTGGCAAGGGTGAGTAAAACTGATCTTCCAATTCCGAAACGCACAAACCAGGACAGCAAGAATTTGGAATCTGTGCGTCTCGCGAGGCGCTGAATGGGATGGTGCGATTTTCGCGTCGAGCGTTGGTCGAGCCAAAACCCGCAGCGCGTCTGCCTGTTCTGGGAGTGAACATCTCGACATCACCACAGATCAGCCCCACTGACGATGATATTTTAGACATTTCTGGCGACCCACGTGCCCTCCGTCGTCTGCGTACCGCCTGWGAGCGTGCGAAGCGTACCCTCTCCAACGGTACCCAGACCACCGTCGAGATCGACTCTCTCTTCGATGGCGAGGACTTCAACGCCAACATCACCCGTGCTCGTTTCGAGGACATCAACGGCAAGGCTTTCAACGGCACCATCCAGCCAGTTGAGCAGGTCCTGAAGGACTCTGGTCTTGAGAAGAGCAAGGTTGACGAGATTGTGCTTGTCGGTGGTTCTACTCGTATTCCCCGGATACAGAAGCTCCTCAGCGACTTCTTCAACGGCAAGAAGCTTGAGAAGAGCATCAACCCTGACGAGGCTGTCGCCTACGGTGCTGCCGTTCAGGCTGGTATCCTCTCCGGCAAGGCCACCTCGGCCGACACCGCTGACCTCCTTCTGCTCGACGTCGTCCCTCTTTCCCTCGGTGTTGCCATGGAGGGCAACATCTTTGCTCCTGTCGTTCCTCGTGGACAGACTGTCCCCACCATCAAGAGTGAGCCAGACCTCTTCCCCGCTCTACCGCTCACGTACTGACTTTCTCGCAGAGTATGTACAAAGTGATACCCCTCCCCTACTAACAATCCCCCCTCCCCTTCACATCACTCTTTCCTCGCTCGTACCTTTCTGGATTGGATTGCTCGATATCTTGGATACTGGATAATCTGGAAAAACTTTCGCATGGATTTGGGAGCGACTTACTTCCCAGCTGTAAATTCTCTTGATACCCTTTCTTCACGGCTTCCCGCTGTTTCGGAGGATGCTACTGGCTTGAGCGCGTGCGTGTCCCTACGTGGGTCTCTTGGCAGCCGATTTCCCGATGCATTTACTCTGCTTGGTTTCTCAAGCACTCCATCTTCAGTGTGTCTGTCTGCACGGCCTCTCGCAATCTCCAAGTGCACTCGGTCCTGGAGAGCAAAGCCGGAGACAAGGCACAACTCGAGTCTTCTCCTGGCGGACGCGTGAAGCCTGATGCCTCTCAAGCTTGCGGCCCCATCTTGCAGCAGGGCCCGAACACTTGCCAAGTTCAGCAAGCGAAAACGCGATTCTGTCCTCTGCACTGGCCTCTAGCTTCAGCATACCGCTGGTGGACATCTTCGTTCTCTTCATTTTGCTTCACGGAACTTTCGGCTTCGCAGCGAGATCCAGCTTGCGGCAGCATCGAGTGCCATCGAGAGGATCTCACAAAAGCAGAGCCTGGTCAAACCGACACTCTGAGCAACGGTCCCGCGGCTTGACCACCCTCTACTTCTGCTCGAGAGGCCTCTGGCGTTCTTCACCAGGCATTCACAATGGAGAGCATTGCAGAGATTGGTATGGAACAAGACGCCAAAGTACCGGCTTCCTGGCCAGATGATATCCACGCATTTTCACCTCATATGGCGTGGCGGCGGAAATCCCACCCCCAATTGGGCTATTATAGTATTTCCCACCGGATTGAACCTGGCTCAGTCTCGAGCTCGCCATCTTTGGAACTCCTCCAAACCTCGCTCTCGCTGCGTCCGTTTCTGGTATACTGTCCTGGATTACTCTAGCTATCTCATTGGACCGCCGCTCTTGGAKAACAAACCTTGTCATTGCAGGCTCACCACCACCACTACAAGACGTTCTATTCTGGAGGATCCTGGCAATACAACCGGATCACCGCTCGCGGAAATTCATCGTCACATCACTCTTCCACATCGCTCATCATTTTACTACATCGACACATGTGTTCAGCAGCTAACAACTTTCTCCCTGCAGGCGCTCCTTCACTACGGTTGCAGATGTAAGGCAAAATCCAGAAAAACAAATATCCCTGCCCTTGCAATGCTAACAATTTCACAGAACCAGCAGACCGTTCAGTTCCCCGTGTTCCAGGGAGAGCGTGTCAACTGCGAGGGTATGCAATCTCACTCCCGGCTATTTGATACATATACTGACTTGCACACTCAGACAACACGTCCCTCGGCGAGTTCACCCTTGCACCAATCCCACCTATGCGTGCCGGCGAGGCTGTTCTTGAGGTTGTCTTCGAGGTCGATGTCAACGGTATCCTGAAGGTCACTGCCACAGAGAAGAGCTCTGGCCGCACTGCCAACATCACCATTGCCAACTCTGTCGGTAAGCTCAGCAGCGCCGAGATTGAGAAGATGGTCAACGACGCCGCCGAGTTCAAGTCCAGCGACGATGCTTTCACCAAGAAGTTCGAGGCTCGCCAGCAGCTGGAGAGCTACATCAGCAGAGTTGAGGAGATCGTCTCGGACCCAACGATGAGCATGAAGCTCAAGCGCGGCCAGAAGGAGAAGATCGAGAGCGCTCTCTCCGACGCCATGGCCCAGCTTGAGGTTGACGACGCTGGTGGCGATGACCTCAAGAAGAAGGAGCTCGCGCTGAAGCGTGTTGTTACCAAGGTAAGCTACAAACCCTCAACAGCGATCTTCTTGCATGATACTCACCATTTCTCAGGCCATGTCTACCCGCTAAGCGTCTCTGCTTGATTTTCATGATACTTTCGGCGTTGGTGTGCAGAGAGGCGAGAAACAAGGACACGAATGCGTGCCGTACGACCTCTTTTCCCGCGTGGTGATAGATCAATGCAATGCAATGATGGAACGGCCCAGAGCACAAAAGCAAACTGATGTATGATCACGGGCGCGGTGATGAGAGCGAGAGCAAACTCGATAGCTTTCGCAAAATGATTCCCTTACCAATGAATTTTGATTGCATGTGTTCATCTCGATTGGTTGGATTGTAATTTGCAAAATGGCTTTGCACGTGCGTGAGATACAAATTATCCTTGTCGATCCACGATGCACCCACCTGAGCTGCACCTCGAAGCTTTTTCTTTTCTCRAAAACATTGCTACGCAATTCGTGCCGCCGTGTTCAAGCGACCCTCCAGGTACTCCATCGGGTCAACGGAACACACACCCATCACTCGCTCCAAATACCGTAGAGATCGCACAACAAAGATCTTCGAGAAGTACCTATCAGAGAAAAGTATCTCCTTTCTTGGCGTCCCCGAACCTCGCAAGTTGGCATGAAGAGAGATGCATGCTAACGACAAAACCCGACGCAGGGATGGCGACCTCAGCGACCGGGACGCTATCAGAAGATGGGTTGAAACATTTCAAGACTTACAAATACTCCTCGGTGGATTTGTCGCCAATCTCGAAGCACATATTAAGGCATTATGTGCGTATTATCTTCCACCGCCCCCAAATTGAAAAAGTGCTCGGTGCTCATCAGCTTCACATCACAGTGGAATGCCTGCGTGGAATTCTTGCCATTATGGCTCGCACCAAACATGGTCACGCTCATCGGATTTTTCTTCATCATTGGAAATGTGGCTCTTCAGCAATACGCAGATCCTGACCTCGTGGGACCAAAAGATACTTGGGTCTACTTCAGCTACGCATTCGGTGTGTGGGCATACTCTACAATGGACAACATCGACGGCAAGCAGGCACGGAGAACGGGTACTTCATCTGGGCTTGGAGAGCTTTTTGACCATGGCATCGACTCACTCAACTGCACGCTTGCATCACTTCTCGAAACCTCCGCCATGGGCCTTGGATCAACAAGAATCGGAGCGTTGACCGCGCTGATTCCCACCTTGCCCATGTTCTTCTCCACATGGGAGACCTATCACACCCACACCTTGTATCTTGGCTACTTCAACGGTCCTACCGAGGGCTTGATGATTGCCGCGACCATCATGATGACATCCGGCATCTACGGCCCTCAGATTTGGCAAAAGCCAATATCTGATCTAGTTGGCTACAACGATACGCTGGGAGCTCTGAGCGTACAGGATTGCTGGGCGGCACTGCTCCTCGCAGCATTTTTCATCGCCCACCTGCCAGGATGTGTTTACAACGTCGTCAAGGCGCGGAGGGCAAAGAACCTCCCCGTTGCTCCGGTATTCTTGGAATGGTCGCCCATGATTCTCTTCTGCGGCTCACTCGTGGCATGGCTGGGATCACCGTACTCGTTCCTGCTCCAAGACAACCACCTTTGCCTGCTCTGCCTCACTCTGTCTTTTGTATTCGGCAGGATGACAACCAAGACGATTCTTGCCCATCTCACCAGACAGCCGTTCCCATACTGGACTGCTCTTCTGGCGCCTCTCGTTGGTGGCGCTTTCTTGGTCAATTTCCCGTACTTTGGCTTCGACCCTGTGTCTGCGGAGATTCAGTTGTATTACCTATGGGCGTACTTCTTCTTCTCCATGGTAGTGTATTCCCGCTGGGCGTACGTGGTCTGCACTGCGATCTGTAATTACCTTGGAATCAACTGCTTGACGATCCCGCAGGAGAAGTGGAGAGCTTTGCAGCAGCAGCAGAGAGAGGAGGCAATGCCGTCACTTGTCAGCAGTCCCGGGAAGGGGAAGAACGCCTGATGTATATGCAATGTCCGCCATATAGAGAAGATAGAGACAAGAGGGTGGGCCGCTCAACGCCGCCGCCAAAATCAAAGTGAGTCAATCAAGAACAAATCTGCTTGTCTGCTTGCGTTGAACGTGAAGTGGTGATGTACATGCCTGGCCGATCTCATGTTCTCCTCACGCCACTTAGGAGTAGTTACAGCGCTGTACTCTACGCAGTCCGGAGCTCGGAAGCCACCGATCCCGGATGAAGAGAGGTGGAGCTTTCGGCGACATGGCCCTTCTATATAGACACGGATAGAGCCGCATAGGTTTTGTATGCTTTCGCTAGCCTGTTAAGTAAAGGTGTCCTAAAATCGATGAAATATCGGGTGAAAGTTGGGAAYTTCGCGTAATTACCATGTAGCAATCACGCTACCTTATCATGCCTAAGTGCCCAAATTGAAGCTCTTATCTCGAACCGATTGATGGTGTTAATCTCGTAATTTTTTGATTCGTGGTTGTTGCGCTGTCGCGAGAGCGATTGAAAAGGGCAGAGTTTCGGAGACATCTCCGCTCCCCTGCATCATCATCCTTCTTCGCCCTCATCTCGTCCACTACAGCTGCCACCACTACTACCAATTATGGCTATTACTCTACGCAAGGACGATACAGACCGAGCCGTTGACGCGTATCGGACGGGTAACGGCGAGAAGTAACCTACGCAGGTGTATTGCGCGACAGCCTACGGATCCACGCCTACAACATCTAGTCGACGTCTTCGAAACCACACGAGATCACGCGTAGAGGGCGCTGCGGTCAAGAGCCGGCTATTACATACCTGCCTACTGGCCCTTTAGAACAATGTTGTATGGTACTTTGACTATGGATTACCTCCGAGACACAGCATAGTACGGAGGCTTGCAAGGGGACTTARGGCGAGGGTAGCAAACAGCGACAGGCCCATAGTTCCATCCTATAGACAAATTCTAGGTACGGAGGTTCATTGCTAAGTCGTCTATACTCTAGACAGTGTACGCCAGAGCCATTCACAACGACCGTTATTACCACGAAAAGAACACTCAGAGCTGCACTAGATGGTTACCTGCGAGAAGTACCACATTACCCCTGCCAACGCCTACAACATGGACGGAACTGGTGTTGCTCTCGGTGTCATCACTGCTTCTGAGGTAGTAGTAGTTCCCTACCGTCAGAAACAAGCGTGGTGAAAGCAGCCTGGCARCTGCGAATGGGCCACTGCAATATTGTCAACTTTTGCAACCGGCCAGCGGGGGGCGTATCCACTTGATTGTCTCGGAAGCAAGCCTCTTACTGGTGTTGTCACTGTTGCGGAGCTTCGATCCATTTATGCAAGTGCCCCATGGAGAAGAAACTAACACGGCATTACTCTCGGCCTTGGAGCAAAAAGGCCTCACGTGTGATCGAACTTCATCATCGCTACGCTGACCGGAAAGCCTCCAAGATGAAGCGCAAGATTTTCTCTTCGCCACAATGACGCCCAACGGGCAAAACTGATGTTGAGCAACAAGCCTTGCCCCCCAGAGATCGTGGACGACAAGCCACGATTGGCAGTCTTGGAGGCGACGCTTGACAGCCTTGACTGCCGCGKCGTTTGACGGCGCTCGGCCTTGTACAGAAGGCTAATGCAAGTGCGGCTAACCTGGTCTCTCGAGAGTGAAGCCGCAAAGACGCCGTGGTGTGCCATGGAGACTCCGCATTGAGCAGGGTACACAGGCTCGCTCCGTACGGGGTCGACACGAAATGAGTCGTTGATTGTCGTTCGAGTCTCAAAAGCGGGATGATGTTTTCGTCGCAATGGCAGCAACTCTGGTACTGCCAACACCAAGCCGGTGGCCCCAAAGCTTCGACACGAGAGCTTGAAGGTGAGCTTTTGTGCTCTCCTTCTGTTCGGCTCTCAAAATTGAAACGCAAGGAAGTGCTCGAATATTCGAAGGCCCACTTGCTAGTTCGGCAGCATACCCTGTCGCTCACGCGAGCGCTTAGGAACTGTTAGTGCTGTAACCTCCGTCCAAGACGCGTCAGATTGTTCCTCGTACAATCTGGGTACTCGCGTATCACCACACACACAGAAACTCGGTAACTCAAGGCCTAAAGTAAGCAGAACTCGCGCAACTTTGRGACGTACCTGCTCGATGGATAGAAGTGTCTGGCCGCTGCCCGAAGCGAAAATATCACCGATGATGCAAATCTGATTCGTCGTTCAGCGCCATGTGTGCATGAGGCTCCTTGCATTCGCCAGCAGGGATGATGCATACCGCCATGCAGCACAGACCGGAAAGCGAAGCTCTCTGGGGCTCTGGGCGCGGCGCTACCTAATCTCACTGTGGACAAGGCAGCTTTCTAGTCAAACCCGGGGCAATATCCCGCTAACAAGGTCACTACCAGCTCTGTGCATCATATAAGGTCGCTCGCCTCTCCGGGTGTTGAGACGATTGTCTCCATCAACCTCTCAGGCAGTAGATCGATCATGCCTCTTACAATCAAGCCACCACCTGGCACACCAGGCAAAGCATGGCCGGCCATTGCTGTTGGTTTGTTCGTCGCCTTTGGCGGCGTTCTTTATGGATATGGTGAGTCCAATCGATACTGCCATGCCGGCGCACACCAGTAGCTGACTTGCGTCCAGATACTGGAACAATTGGTGGAATTCTGGCGATGCCATACTGGGTCGAGACATTCGCGACCAACACCGACGGCCCAAAGGCAATCACATCTGATCAGAAGTCCACAATCGTCTCCCTCCTCTCAGCTGGAACTTTCTTCGGTGCCTTGACTGCCGCACCTACTGGTGACTTCTTCGGCCGCAGACTCGGTCTTAKGGTTTCCACTCTCGTTTTCACCTTTGGCGTTATTCTCCAGACCGCAGCCACCAGGATCCCGTTGTTTGTTGCTGGTCGTTTCTTCGCCGGATACGGAGTCGGCATGATCAGTGCTCTCATTCCTCTGTACCAATCCGAAACTGCACCCAAGTGGATTCGTGGAACCATCGTCGGTACCTACCAGCTAGCCATCACGATCGGCTTGCTCCTGGCTGCCATCGTTGACAATGCAACCAAGAACTTTAACGATACAGGAAGTTACCGCATCCCGATCGCTGTCCAGTTCGCATGGGCTCTGATCCTGTTCTTTGGAATGATGGTCTTGCCCGAGACACCCCGTATGTACATCAAGCGTGGACAGCCCGAGAACGCTGCAAAGGCACTTGCGAAGCTCCGTAGACTCAGCCCCGACGACCCTGCATTGGTGGAGGAACTTTCAGAAGTCCAAGCCAACCACGAGTATGAGATGAGTCTGGGCAAGGCGTCGTATCTTGACTGCTTCAGGGGAACTCTGGGCAAACGACTTGCTACTGGATGTCTGGTACAGTCCCTACAACAGCTCACTGGTGTCAACTTCATCTTCTACTATGGCACCTCGTTCTTCAAACAAGCGGGGTTCAAGAACGAGTTTGTCATCAGCATGATCACCTCGTCTGTGAACGTCGCTAGCACATTCCCTGGGTGAGTACTTTCTCAAGGGTCCTCGTGTTGATAAATGCTAATTGGCTATCAGGCTTTACATGGTTGAAACCTGGGGTAGACGCAACCTACTCCTTTTCGGAGCCATTGGAATGGCCGTCAGTCAGTTCATCGTTGCCGGCGTTGGTACTGGCGCGGGTGCCGACAACCAGGCCGCTCAGAACGCCTCGATCGCCTTCGTGTGCATTTACATCTTCTTCTTCGCCTGCTCATGGGGACCTTGCGCCTGGGTCGTTACTGGCGAGCTTTTCCCACTGAAGTAAGTTTTCACAAGAGCGAGAGACCTGCTTGACAGTCGAGAGATGTCTCTGGAGCTGCTTTGAGGCTCCAAGGTCCATGTCGATACTCTTGTGGCATTGCTAACCTGCCAACCACAGAGTCCGCGCCAAGTCTCTCTCCATGACCACCGCTTCCAACTGGCTGCTCAACTGGGCCATCGCATACGCAACTCCATACCTCGTCGACAAGGGCCCAGGAAACGCGGCTCTCGGCGCCAAAGTCTTCTTCATCTGGGGAGGCTTCTGCTTCGTCTGCATCTTCTTCGTGTATAGCATGATTTACGAGACCAAGGGTCTATCCCTCGAGCAGGTCGATGAGCTCTACGGAAAGGTTGACAAGGCATGGAAGAGCCCAGGCTGGGTGCCAACGGTTTCCTTCCAGGAAGTGAAGGATGTTGGCGGTGATTTCCGCAACACCAGCCTCGGAGATATTGAGAACAACGTTATGAGGAAGAAGTCGGTCGGTCATGAGGAGACTATTTCTGAGAAGATATAATGTACATAGTAGTGAGATGTCTGCATGACTTTATGAAAGCTGAGGCAGGTTATCTGTAATCAATCAAGTTCGCCAATACCTTATTGAGTACAAGCGGATTCGCCAGTGTTGAGTACCTAGGTAGGTAGGTAAACAGGGCAGCCATGAAGGGTGGACTCATCGATGCGGATCTCCCATGGAGCAGTGCCGGAAAYCTCCAGCCCCTTGCTCAAGAGCAGTCCCTTCCTCAGTAGACAAAAGGGATTGAAGCATGCCCGTTGATGGGAGCAAGTGATCCATGGCCATCCGAGGACTCTACCTATTCTGCCTCTGCCCCATGGCGGGATCATGCGCCAGCCTCTGCACGCGACGCGAGACGGGAGGGTGTGAAAGTCGGGCAGCCTCGGCTTGACCGATGGATAAGCGGGAATTAGATGATTCGAAGATTGGAAGGCTTCTTCGATGACCACACGCTGTCTTCCTCCTCTCTTGTCTGACTGAGGATATCGATAATTTACCGTTGGTCCTGGTCGAAAGTGCTCAAATCCTTGTTCCTCCTCACCTCCGAGTTCCACAGCTCCGTCGCTCCGATCTAGAACTACCTATTGCTACCTTACCCCACCAAAACCAGGTACCAGCCGCCGCGCTCGGGCGTTTCGAGAATCGCATCGCATCGCAAACATGTCTTCCTTCACGCAAACGCAAGCCACTGGCCGCCTTCAACAACTTCAAGAACAAATGTCGTCCTCCAGCACCGCCACCTCGTTCACCAACGATGTCTGTCCGCAAGCCCCGGAAGACCCGCTCTTTGGGTATGTGATGATCGATGCATGGCAGACGAGGGGCGAATGGCATCGCAGAGACACTTGCTGACTGCTTTACTAAAGGTTGATGGCTGCATATCGCAAGGACTCGGACCCAAAGAAGGTGGATTTGGGTATTGGAGCCTACCGCGACGACAACGCAAAGCCATGGGTGTTGCCCGTAGTCAAACAGGTCAGCTACATGCAATCTGAACGCCTTGTAGACTTCGCTGCACCAGCCAACTAACTTTCGCTCCAGGCCGACGAGCTCATCCGAAACGACCCCGACCTCAACCACGAATATCTCCCAATCGCCGGTCTGCCCGACTTCACTTCTGCCTCGCAGAAGCTCGTCCTCGGCAAGCAATCACCTGCCATTACTGAAAAGCGAGCCGTTTCCCTCCAGACCATCTCCGGTACGGGGGCTTGCCATTTGGGCGCCCTCTTCCTCGCCAAGTTCTACCACCCGGCGTCAGCAGGCAGCAAGGCCATCTACGTGAGCAATCCAACATGGGCCAACCACAACCAGATCTTCGGCAACGTCGGACTGCCAGTCAAAAACTACCCCTACTTCTCCAAGAAGACCAAGGGTTTGGACTTTGAGGGCATGATTGGCGCACTCCAGCAGGCCCCAGAAGGTAGCATCATTCTCCTCCACGCATGTGCACACAACCCTACCGGTGTGGATCCCACGCAAGAGCAGTGGAAGAAAATTGCAGAGGTCATGAAGGCCAAGAAACAGTTCCCGTTCTTCGATACTGCATACCAAGGATTCGCATCAGGTTCATTGTCAAAGGATGCTTGGGCAATCAACTACTTTGTTGACCAGGGATTCGAGCTCCTCGTTGCCCAATCCTACGCCAAGAACTTCGGTCTCTACGGTGAACGTGCTGGATGCTTCCACTTCGTCGCTTCCCCCGGCTCTCACGCGACCGAGACCGTGCAACGCGTAGGCAGCCAGCTTGCCATTCTCCAGCGATCTGAAATCTCAAATCCCCCAGCTTACGGTGCTCGTATCGCCTCTCTCGTACTCAATGACGACAAGCTCTTTGCTCAGTGGGAGGATGATCTCCGCACCATGTCCGGTCGTATTATCGAGATGCGCAAGGCTCTTCGGGCCAAGCTCGAAGCTGCGGGAACTCCAGGCACTTGGAATCACATTACGRATCAGATTGGCATGTTCAGCTTCACTGGTCTCGATGAGAAGCAAGTCGCGAAGTTGAGGGACGAGTACCACATCTACATGACCAAGAACGGTCGCATCAGCATGGCCGGGTTGAACACCAAGAACATCGACTACTTTGCCAAGTCAGTCGACAGCGTTGTTAAGGAGACTTCGTCGTAGGGTTGAGAAGGTAGGTAGGGTGAAGGGGTCTCAGAAACGGGCTTCGCAGCGCGTACGTGGGCGAAAGCAGCAATTTAGTGGCCTCGAGCCACCAGAAACTGTAGAAACAAATCCAGATAGGTCCTTGCTTGGACGAACATTTGCCAGAAATGGAAGATTCATAACCTTCAATATTCTTCACATGGACAGCTCTGCCCTTTAGCTAGATGAGCCGTAAGCAGATAATATTGACAGCCCATCGGAGTACTCCTCTAAATACGCTGAGCTCATGATTGCTCACAAACTATATATTGTACCATCCAGAATAGACAATCCGTACAACGATATACAGAAGCGCTATCGTGTTGATATCCTCGCGCTTCAAGCCAGAATAATGTGCCCATATGATCGAAGCAAGCAGGAGAGAGAAACTACACCAATTCTATCACCAATCCTCACCATTTCGGGATAGTGATTAATCGGATTACGTCCGCCCTCTTGATCTGATCAAGCTGCTTTTCCGCGATCCTATCATCTACGACTGCTCGAGGGCCTTACTTGGTCAAATCCCCAAGCGGGGAAACTTGGTGCGCTAAGGTATGTAAAGTTAAAGGGGGGAACTGGTATATTCGAGTACGATGTTAGCGACGTAGAAGGTTGAAGATAAGATTGGAAGTGAAGTGGCTTGGATTCCCTTGGTTCGACTTCCTCCTGCCGGTGAATGATAAAATTCATGTTCAGCCTACATCCATTCTGTACAATGCCGCTTCGTCCCAAACGACGCATTGCCCGACACCGCTGCATTTGTATGGCATTGCTCAGATGGAACGAAGCTCGGTAACGAATATGCTGGTATGGACATCTGCGAGATCCGTCGCCAGGTCAGATCACCGTTGCGATGTCGCGAGTACAGCAGGAGCTCCATTCTGGCTAGCGTGCGCATCAAATTCGTTGGGTCAAATGTAAGGAACAGGAGTTCTGTTTCTGGATCGGTCTCCTGCCGCAATGGCGGCATCTTTCGTGCGAAACGCTCTCATGGCCCAATAAGCCATTGACTTTGCGTCAGTATGTGGACAAGCTTCTTGCCAGAATGAAGTATTAAGTATGCAAGATTGGCTCATCGTTCCTGTGGGTGGAGCTGCTGAATCGATCTTTCATATGAAGAAATCCCATACGACTAGGAAAGAACAGAAGGCTACCGTAGAGTAGAACAGGGCCTGGGCTGTACTGCGTCTTTCGCTCGCACGCTTGAGTTCTTTGTTTCCCTTTCCGAGATTCTCCGTCGCCAGGTACGAGTCCTGGACAAGCTGATCGATGTGCTCGCTCTGTTGTTGGAGATTTGCATGCAGGGTGCTGTGCAGTTCGCTGATTTCCAATATGCTCTTTTCCGCAGTCTTGACCTGGTCCAGCTGGTCTTCGTAGTGCTTCAGCAGTTCATGGTTCTCTTCTTGAAACTGCTGCATTTGCTCCTGGGTGAGTTCTGCAGGAGCTGGTGCCTCAAATGCACTGCCGCTCCCAAAGTCTCCAGACATTCGCATCCTCTTGGCTGAGCTTGAAGGTTCAATTTGGACTTCCTCGTCCTGAATATGAGGTATCGTACCGCCGACCTTGGATTTGGCCAAGATGGACTTTGATTTCTCAATCTCCCTGCTCAGTCGTATGTCCATCATTTCACTCTGCACCCTGCCCGCTTCTTCCAGTCGACCCTGCAGGAACAGGATGATGCTTTCTCGTACGGCGGCCATCGTCTTCCGTGCTGCATCCTCCATCTCTTCCTCTGGTGACTTGGCCGTCACAGCGCCACCTGCTGCCCATCTCCCCAGTCCACCCAGACCACCCCGTGACCTCTTTTTGAGCGCAATTGTATCTGCAGTCTGGTTCCGCACACTCTCTACCTGCTTCAACCTGTCAATTTTCGCATTAAGCTCTCTGAGAAGGCGCTTCGACTCCGCATCATTGAAATCTCTCTGGGCATCTGTGAGCGGCACCACTCGATTGCTTTGGCCAGATCCTGCAATGTGTCTCCTTCGTGAGGGCTGAGCAGCAGACAGGTAAGCTGGCCGGATCGCTCGTAAGTCGCGGTTTAATTCTGCAATTCGCGCGTTCTATATGAAGAGTTAGATTGATGCTTGTGGTGTGGGACTGTTGTCCTTACGAGAAAGTAGGCTTCTTGGAGGAAAGCGTTGATGTTCTGGAGATCAAACTCTTTCTTCGCTATCGATTCGACTCCCTTTTCCTTCAGACAAATGCTGAAGTCGGCCGTTATGTCCGTCATGGTATGGGATCTTGTATTTGCTATAGAGAACATTCAAGGAATCGTCCAGTACGTGACAGCGAAGCGCGGCGGCGGGTGTTCCCGTGATAACATCTGCCGCTGACGACATCACGTAATTGAGGTTCCATTCATGGCCTTGTCTACTTACTCGGTGATTTTTCGAGAGGTTGCGTATCATCCGAGGATCGTTCGTACTACGGAGGATTATTCTACGTTTTGTCTCTGCGCCAGTAAGTATGTGGATGGAGGTTTTTGCGTATACAGTAGAGCGTACCCTCGCTGCCGCTGTCGCTCGGGCCGTTTCGAGACAAGTTCGAACCTTCACAGGGCACGGACGTTTGTCGATATCTCCTCTGAAGGAGATGAACTCACGTTGGTGAGGCTGGGTGGCCAATACGCAACGCGGCTGATGAACGCTGACAGGACTCCTCACTAGGAAATACACGCTTCATCTATCGAAGGAATCTCCGAAGTCTCAGTCTTGGGAAACGGTTTGATTGACGAGACTACACGTACGTTACACGCCTATACGCAAACCTCGCAGAGTWGACACGGCCTTGTTGCGGGGAAACATGGGAGTCTCTGATGACATGCTGCGATTTGCTGCATGCGATTAGCCTGATGCGACAAGTTGCCTCCATCAACAAGCGAGAATGCCCAGCGCGCCATCCATCACTGGCGGCCACGGTGCGATAGCGGAACGGTGTATCGGTCTTAAGTGCTTCGATACCGCTGGGCCGGATAGGCGGCAAAATGTAGGTGGCAGCGTGCAGCATGTGGCAGTTGCGCGAGGTGCTGGCCGATAGATCAACTCACATGTGGTGGAGTTGTTAACCTTTAAACGACCTTCTCTGTTTACTTGTCTTCCTCCTCTCTCCTCTCTGCAGTCAAAACGGAATATGGCTAGTACAGCTTCAGCCGAGAACAATCAAGAGACCAGGGCACATGCAGTCATGACAGACAATGTTGTCGAAGAAATCGAAGAAGGCGATGAGAAAACCACCATACATGAATCAGCACGACATAGTCTTGCWWKYTT